CACCACCACCTGCTTTCCCATACATTCTTTTGTGCCCGGCTGCTCCTGTTATTTTAGTGAGATGCAAGATGCTTTCAGGCACTTCCTCCCGAAGATTTACCAAAGCTTGGAAGAGGGATTTGGTGAAGTTAGGCAAAAAGTGCCTTTCTGAGTAGGGAAATACATAGTTAGATTTTCATGTCTGTGGATTTAGCCAACTGTGGATGGAAATTCTAAAACTCTGTACTGAAGATGTACCACCATTTATTTATGTTTGTGTCCATGTTCTGGTGTGCGCATGAGGTCAGAGGACAACTTGTGAGTTAGGTCTCTTCTACTGTGTGGGGCGCAGGTGTGGTGGCAAGTGAGCCATCCTGTCGGCCCTGTATCAACTGGCTTGGTCATTATTCTCTAAAGAATACACTGTAGGAGCTAGAGAGATGGCCCAGCAGTTAAGAGCACTGGCTGCTCTTTCGGAGGACCCAGGTTCAGTTCCCAGCACCCATGGTAGCTCACAACTGCCTGTAACTATGGTTCCAGGGGATCTGATGATTTTCTCTGGCCTCCAAGGGCACTAGGCACATACATGGCACATATATAGGCATGCAGGCAAAACACTCCTACATATAAAATAAAAATTAAATTTAATAAAAGGCCTACACACATTTCTAAAAAGAAAGGATACAGTATAACAACTGTGTAAATGGGAGTTACATTGCATATTGAACCCCCAGTACCAAACAAATATATTGCATTAGATATATATAGATTACAAGTAATCCAGAGATTATCTAGATTATATAGGATGTGCACGGGATGTTATATGAAAATACTACCTTATTTTAGATAAGGGCCTAAAGTTTGTGTGAATTGAATATCTGCAGGAGTCTTAGAACCAATTCCCTGCACATACCAAAGGCTAATTGTACTGGGAAAGTATAAGCCAGAAGGGGCCCAGAGGATGGAAAAGCTGCTGTGTAGAGCAGTGGCCAAAGCTCCCTCTGTGGACCAGGCTGGTACAGAACTGAGTCCCAGTTCTGGTACACAGCCATTGGGCACTGGGCATGTTCCCTGATCTCTAGTAGCCTCCGATGCTCATCTGAACACAGGAGCGAGAATAATGTGTGCCACCGAGCACTGGTGTGAGGCCCTGAGCTTGTCTTTTTCCTTCTCATTAGCATACAAAGAATTAGGTTTTATTATGGCATTTTGCAAACAAAATCGGTTTTGTTGTTTGTCCTTCCCTCTTCTCCCCCATGCTCCTGTACGTGTGATCAAAACTCAGTGCATCACACACACACACACACACACACACACACACACACGCTATACTTCTCATGGTCTCCTTTCTGCTCCAGGGTCATAGGCCCTTTTGTCCTCCTTCTTTTCTCAACAGCATTCTCCCCTTCTTGTGATCTATCTAATTTCATAGACTATACCCACTTTCACACCCACCTATACATACATACATAGAAACATTAACAGTTAGGATCCACGTATGGGAGAGAATCATTTGGAGTATGGGTCACTTCACTTAATAATGTAATACTTTCCAGGTCCATCCATTTTACTGCAAGGTTCATAATTTTATTTTTCTTTATGGCCGAGTAAAATTGCACTGTGCCTCTCCGAGGCATTCAGCTTTTCTAAGCACAGAGCTCAGTGCCTGGCAAGGAGGGACCTTGGTGAGCAGTCATCATTGGCTACAACTGTGAAGAGACAGCAAATGGAAGAATCATTCTAGACAATACAATAAAAGCGGAAACTCT